GGAGGAGGAGGAGGAGGAGGAGGAGGAGGAGGAGGAGAAGGCGGAGAGGCGCGCTACCTGCTATATCGCGACAGTAATGCGGCGTCAATTGCGAGGATGGCCGCCAGAGCCGCCGCGCCGCGCTGGCCCCAGGCAGGCCCCGGAAGGACGTCGTTGTTGACGACTGCGGCGTGTTGAAGGCGGCGGCGGGCACCGCGGCCCGCTCGTCGTCGTCGTCGTCGTCGCCATCACCGCCGCAGCTGCCGTAACGTCGTCGTCGTCGTCGCCGCCGCCGCCGTCGTCGCCCTCGCCGTCGCCGTGCCGTTGTCGCCATCACGGCCGCCGTCGTCGCCTTCGTCGTCGCCGTCGCCGTCGCCGTCGCCGTCGCCGTCGCCGTCGCCGTCGCCGTCACCGTCGTCGTCGTCGTCGTCGTCGTCGTCGTCGTCGTCGTCGTCGTCGTCGTCGTCGTCGTCGTCGTCTTCGTCGCCGTCGTCGTCGTCGTCGCCGCCGAAGATCGAGAATCGAGGACCAAGGGTCTAGGGGGAGTCGACGCTGCTGGTCGTTCTTGGCCGTTTTCTTGGCCTCAAGGGGCGTCTGGAGGCTGTTGGAGGTTCGGAGGCCTCTGGGAGCCTCCGGAGGCCTCCACGGACTTCTGAGGACCGCTGAGGACCTCCCAGGACCGTCGTTGTCGCCGTCGCCGTCACCGTCGCCGTCGCCGTCGCCGTCGCCGTCACCGTTGCCGTCGCCGTTGCCGTCGTCGTCGCAGTCGCCGTCGCCGTTGCCGTCTTCGTCGCCGTCGCCGTTGCCGTCGCTGTCGCTGTCGCTGTCGCCGTCGTCGTCGTCGTCGTCGTCGTCGTCGTCGTCGTCGTCGTCGTCGGCGTTGTCATCGTCGTCGTTGTCGTCGTCGTCGTCGTCGTCGTCGTCGTCGTCGTCGCCGTCCTGCCTTTTCTGCTCCTTCCTTTTTGTTCCCCCTCCTCCCCCCTCCCCCCCTCCCAGTCGCCTCCTGGAAGGCTCAGGAGCGCAGCCTGGCCGACTGAGATGCCAGAAAGTTCCTCTCCGCGACCCGTCGGGGCCCGACCGGTTACCGCACCTGGAGGAAAGTGGGAGGCACAGTCAAGCACCCAGCCGAGCATGAAGGGAAGGGGCCTGCTGGGCACTGGTTTAGTTGTTGGGCTCATGAGGGGTAGAGCCAGGGAGATGGCTCGGCTCCCCTCTGTAAAGGGTCCCAATCAGGGTGGCAAACTTTACTTGGGGTAGTGGCGCTCCTCCTCCTCCCCCTCCTCCTCCTCCCGCGCAACGTGCAGCGCCGCGTCCCGCGGGGAAGTCGATGACCGTCCCTACGGCCACTCCTCCTCCCTCCTCCCTCCTCTTTCTCTCCTCTTCCTTCTCGTTCCCAGCCTCTTCTCGACGGCGACGATGATGGTAGCGGAGGCGACGACGGCGACGACGGCGACGACGGCTGCCGCTGCATCCTCGGCCCGCCAGGGCGGGAAGCGCGTCGCCAACGAGGACCTTGCCGGCATTCCGCCGCAGGAGGAGGAGGAGAAGGAGAAGGAGGAGGAGGAGGAGGAGAAGGTGCAGGAGGAGGAGGGGGAGGAGGGGGAGGGGGAGGAGGAGGAGGAGGAGGAGGAGGAGGAGGAGGAGGAGGACGAGGACGAGGAGGAGGGGGGGCGCCTGCGAGGACGGCTCCGGCGCTCCGCCTGGCAAGCGAAAGAGGGCCGTCGACATGCCAGCCGAGGCCCAGCGGCCCTTCGGACGGCCTTTCGGACGGCCCTTCGGGTGGCTCTTCGGGCGGCCCTGGCAGTCGTCGTCGTCGTCGTCGTCGTCGTGGTCTTCGTCGTCGTCGTTGTCGTCGTCGTCGTCGTTGTCGTCGTCGTGGTCGTCGTCGTCGTAGTCGGCGTCGTCGTCGTCGTCGACTTGGTCGTCGTCGTTGTCGTCGTCGTCTTCGTTGTCGTCGTCATCGTCGTCGTCGTCGTCATCGTTGTCGTCGTCGTCGATGTTGTCGCCGTTGTCGCCGTCGTCGCCATGGTGGCGTTGGTCGTCGCCGTTGGTTGGCAGGAAAGCAGAGAGCAGAGGGGGAGGAGGATAATGATGATGAGATTGAGGATGACGGGGAGGAGGAGGAGGACGAGGAGGAGGAGGATCGATGATCCTCCGAACGTGTGTCAGCCCAATGTGTGTTATCATCCCTCAGCTCCGCCGATAACTCGCAGCTCTTGACAGTCATCAGTGCGCAGAAGCAAGTGTTGCGGGGCCTCGTCGGGGCCCTGCAGGGGTCGTCTTTTCGATGCGGCTCGCCTTTTGCCCTTACTCAAAATTTTAACCCTCAGCTCCTCCTCCGGTCCTTATCCTCTTATTTCCTCCGCCTCCTTCACCCCTTCCATCCTCTTTCTCGCTCCTGCCCCTCGCTTCTCTTTGCCGACAGCTGGTGCACATTACCGACGTAACTTTCCGTTATTGACGTAGCCCTATCCGTCAGTAAGGGTGGTTGTTGACGTAGAACTCGCATCGTGTTCTCGGTCGTTCAGAGAAGCCGACGTAACCTTTCGTTACCGACGCAGCGTTTACGTTAGTAACGGAATTCCTCCGTTAGTAACGTAAACGTTCTGTCGCTTCCGTTCCGTCAGTTATTTGCGCGGCCTGTGGAAGAGCCTGGCTCCCGCGACGCACCAGGGACACGTGTTTCTCCAGCCCACCTAATTTGAGTCAGCCGCGTTTTCCGCACTTATCTTCGCGCGCGGCACCTACTATCCACGAGCGTGCCGAGACGCTCTGTGACGTGCGCAGATGTGTGTTTCAACCACATGCAACTTACCGAAGGGCTTCGGTGGACAAACACACGTTAGCGTTAACGCACGGTTTGAGGATCATCGAGTGGAGGAGGGGGAGGAGGAGGAGGTGGAGGAGGAGGAGTCTGGTGCCAGTCCGAGTTTTTTGTTGCAGATCCCATTGTACTACTTCATAGGGAGCTCCACTGAAGCCCTCAGTGGGACCGTCCGCATGCGTCCTGGCAGCCCAATTCGGCACACCACCCACACAGTACAGCGTTCCCCCCCGCCCAGTGCAGCGCTTCGTGGCCCCATAGGGAGCTTCACCGAAGCATGTATTCACAATTACGGCACCCACAACTTCATATGGTTGGGACCTTCGCCAGGATGACTGTTTCAGATGCTGTTGTACTACTTCATCGTTTTCTTTGGTATCATAAATCTTGTGTCCATTATCGTCAAGATTATCCCACGTATGCCATTCTGCTTCATGGCACCATAGCTTCATGCTGCATGGACTGGATTGGCGCCCTAACACGCTGTTGCGACAGAGATGATGTGCAGTATGCCGTTCCTGCTCGCACGCCGTCTGGCACAAGGCTTACATACCTACGTACGTATAGCGACTGTACTCGCAATAACGGGATCTATTACTCCTTCATGTGCATGTTCTGCGTTGCTGTACATATTCTTGCGGTTCCTGCCAGCAACTATTTATTCTTCTGATTGTAATTCCATCGTTCACAGAGAGCGCTCATAGTGTGACCCTCATTGGGGCCGTGAGTGTGGCCACGCTTGTGGACTGCTCGTTCTCCCAGCTGTTGGGGAAGCCGCAGGGAGAACAGTGGGGAGGGGGCTGTCTGGCGGCATGTTGGGGGTCTTGGGGGCCATCTTGTGAGGGAGGGTTCCTTGGAGCCCTTCGAGTTCCTCCTCTCGGGCTCTTCCTGTGGCCCTCATGCTTGTCTCTTGGGCAGTCTTGGGGTCCCTTTGGAGCTCTTTCGGAGCCTTTGGGCCGTCTTGGGGCCTCTCGGGCTGTCTTAGACACCCTGAAGATCGACCAGCTGCGTAGGATACAGGCTCACGCCGCGCCCGCCGACCCCTTGCATTCGGTCGTCTGTGGCTCTGGTGTCTGTGGGCTCCAAAGTCATAGTTTGCGTCGTCCTGGGGGCCGCCTGGGCCGTCCTCGGAGGCGTTTTGAAAGCAACACTCGACTATCCCAGGGGGCCTGGGTCGTTGGGGTTTTCGGTAGCGCCCCAGAGCTCGGCACGCCAAGCGCGCCCCTTCGACGGGTCGGGAGGGGGCGTGCTTTGAAGCGGCTCCTGAAGGGCGCGCTGTGGCGCCGTTCTGGGGTTATCTTGGGGTTATGCTTGACCCTCTTGGGGGCCTCCTGGGCCGTCTTGGTTGGCCTCCTGCGGCCTTCCTCGGCCATCTCGGGGCCCTCTTGGGCATTCTCGGGGGCAGCATGGGGCCTTTTTGGGGACATCTTGGGGGTCGCCAGGCGCCCCAAGAGGCCTTCCTGGTGGTCTCTCGCGGCCGTTTTGTGATTCTTTAGGGCACTTGAGGGCCCGCTTGGGCAGTCTCTGGCCATATTGGGGCACTTCTTGGTCGTCTCGGGGCGATTGTGGGGGTCTGGTGATTTGAGCCGTCGTGGACGCTCTTAAGCCCGAACAGGCAAGACTGTTCAAGTCCTGCAGCAACCAAAGGGCGCATCCTTGCAATTGTTTCTTCGGGGACTCTTGGAGGTTCTCTTGGCCCTCTCGTCGGGCGCCTCGGGGGGTTCATGGGCCGTCTTGGGGTCATTTTCCTTGGCTTTGCTGAGGCGTGTGAATTTGCCTCGGCGAGATAGCACGAGAAAGTCTCGATCATCTCGGAGCACCTTGGACCACTTTGAGAACAAACACATTTTGATGGTCGCGACACGGCAGAGGCAATCCGCAAGGGCGCTTTAGTTGTCGTGGGCGCTCGACAATCCACTTGTCCGGCTGCAAGGAGGGGGGGGGGGGGGGGGCGGCGGTGACGCACGTGGATGAGGAGCGGCCGCCGAACACAGGAGGGAGGGAGAGGGGAGGGAGACGACAGGGGGGAGGGAGGGACGGAGAGCAACAACAAAACACGCACGAAACCAAACAGTGCACGGAGACAGCGGACGTCCGAGCGATGGCAACCGACCCCATCTGCTTGGACCCCATGTGGGAGGCCTCCAGCCAAGAGAGTGGGCGGCACGACCGTCCCCGCGACCAAGCGGCCACCAGCATTACAGTGGGGGTTCATGCTCAGAAACACCGTGCTTGCCTCCAGGGTGCCGTGGGTTTCTGGGGCTTCGATGGCTTTGCGATGGAGAGCGAGACGCTTTCACGCCAAACATCCATGGACGTCCTGAGGTATCAGGGTTGGGTTTCTTGCTTCGGCCCCCGTTTGTATTGCACTCTGCATGCTGGGCGGGCAGAAGCGGCCTGCTTGTCTGCAGAGGCAGGCGGCATGCAGCGTGCCGCCCCTGCCTGCTCGAGGAGGATGACGAGGAGGATGACGAGGAGGATGAGGAGGAGGAGGAGGAGGAGGAGGAGGAGCAGGAGGAGGAGGAGGAGGAGGCCAAGTACTTGCGCCGATAATTCGCTGCACCGCAGAGTCAGCGATTCAATCTGTACTGTGCCACCACGGCTGGCAATCAGGCCCCCTGTTTTCCTGCCAGCTGTCGCAAGGGCGATTCCTATTTGGATAGTGATGTGCAATATAGAGAAGCGCACCTGGGATATGATATATGTAATGTTGGGAAGGGGGCGATCTTGAAGGCGCGCGGTGGTAAGCACAGCTGTGCGAACCTGCAGCGATTTCTTCCACGGGAGGTCCACGTTTTCCACATCCTGAAGAAGCACAAGGACTCTCAGGACGATTCCGATCTCTTTGTCTGCCTGCTTGCCTGCCTGTCTGTGTGCGTCTCTCCCTCTCTCTCTCTCTCCCCCTATCTCTGTCTCTGAGGATGATGCTGATGACGATGACGATGATGCTGATGATGATGATGATGATGATGATGATGATGATGATGATGATGATGATGATGATGAGGAGGAGGAGGAGGAGGAGGAGGAGGAGGAGGAGGAAGTTGAGAAGGAGGAGGAGGAGGACAACAGTAAACCCAGGACGCATGGACAATGCTGCCATAAACTTTCCCATCCCGAGTCCCTGCCTCAGAAGCCCCTACAGGCCTTCGTTTTCACCACAAGGTGCACCCCCTTGAAAGACGAGCACCCCAGAGTTCTGGCATTGAGGCAAGACGCCACTTCTGAACAGGAGATTGCTTTGCATGCTTGCAGTAATGCATCTGTTTCACCTCCTGGTCGTGCAAGTTCAGTTAGGACGTCTCAAGCGTGAGCCATATTTTGAATTGGAGCCGCTCTTCACCCTTGTACTTGTTCCAAACTAAGGCGTACTTGTGAGGCGCTAATGCGACAGCCCAATTTTGAAAATCGCTCTTCCATCATTGTAGTTGGTCCAAGCTCCTGATACGAACGTGCGCGGCGCTGGGGAGGCAGCCAAAGTTGTAAAACCGCACCCCTCCACACTTGTTTGCAGATGCCAAGATCGCATATGGCGGGGAAGTCTCAGGCGAATCGGCGGGTCCACCCTACCGACACGTTTCGGGGCCAGGGAGTGGTCCAGGGGTGGGTTTTGAGTCGATATCGCTGTGTCGGGAAACATATTGCCAGGAAGCTGGATGCGCATGGCTTGGCTTGCCTGGCTGAGAGCTGGATGCACATGTGGCGTGATGCCTTTCCAGCGCTCGGCCCCTCTATGGCCTTGTAGGCGGGGCTTTCGAACGTGTGCCCAGCGCGTGGCCTCCGGATGTTCCACATGAGAACCCAGCCGTGTGTGCCCCCAGCCTCCCAGTAGTACCGCTGCCCTCTACCGTTTTCGCCGCCTTGCGCCTCCCGAGGGACCTGGTCGCCACGGCCGGATTCACTTCGAAATTTTCGTCGGGGCGAATCCCAGGAGAGGTCCGGCCGCCGGAGTGTATCCACGCGCCGCGCTCCAGGAAGGGCTTCGGTGTCGAGGAATCGAGAAGTTGACCTCTCTTCCTTGGTGGAAGGTGGCCGAAGGCGGGTCCACTGGCTTCTGCCGCCGGAAGAGCGTCGGAAGCCAGCTGAAGCAAACTATGTGCTCCATGAGATGGTCGCATGTTTGGATTGGGTTTCTTTGGAGCGGCCAGGATCCACTGACTTGGACTTGCCCCCCCGAGATTGGTGGGTGTGGACATTTGCCAACCACTGCGGGCGGGGACACATCCATGTCCACCGCTCCCTGGGTTACCTCCTCCCCCCCGCTTCCCCAGTCCGGGGCCATTGTAGGTTTTCTTTTCTTTGCCATGCGGTCGACATCGATTGGCGGAGTTTCGGGCACTCTCGCTGGACAGCGTGTGGGGTTGGCTTGGCGCGCGGTTTGGGCAATCGTTTTCTGAATGCTCCGCGCCTTCACTTCCCTCAGCTCTCCCCCCTCTTCTCCCCAAAAAGTATACACCGCTCCCCCCCAAAATACATAAACAACAAAACAAATAAAAATATAAAAAAACAAGCAAAAAAAGTATCCACCGCTCCCTGGGGGACTCGGGGCAGCTGGCAGAAGTCGAGCGCACGGGTGCCTCCTGGGTGCGCTCGCTCGATTCCCCGCGCGAGCGCGAGGCCGCCAGCGCTTCCCTGGACGGCGTTCGCCGTCTGAGCGGGCCGCTTCTGTTCCTGCTCCGCTTGTTCGGGCGTGCGTCAGGAACTTCGGTTGATCGGCGGCGAGCGAGGGGGGAAGTGAGAAGAAGAAGGCCTTCTGAGCAGGCGGCGAGACTTTTCAGAGGCCCCCCGGCCTTCTGAGAAGTTGTCTGCGTCTTCGGGGAAGGCTCAGAAAACTTCTCAGAAGGCCGGGGGACTTCCGAGCATTCTGAGAAGGCCTGCCCCTTCTCACTTTCCCCCTGGACTCGCCGCCGAGTTGAGGAAAGTTCCTGACCGTAGGCTCAGGGGGAACGCATCGACCCCCGAGCGCCCGTTCATCACCGATCGGCGATGTGTCGCTGACTTTGGATCGATGCTCCCCTCCTCCCCCCCAAGCCCCCCAAACGGTGTGGTGACAACAGTGTGTGGTGAGTCCGTGGCTTGGCGTCGCTCAGGACGTGTGCATTTTTTCCCCACATCCTAAGTGGGTCTCTTGTTTTCTCTGGACACCCCGCACAGGAGCAGAAACAGGAACACACCATCTCCATCATCATCATCATCATCATCATCATCATCATCATCATCATCATCATCATCATCATCATCATCATCATCATCATCATCATCATCATCATCACCATCATCATAATCATCATCATCGTCATCGTCATCATCGTCATCATCGTCATCATCATCATCATCATCAGCGTCCTCATCCTCATCCTCATCCTCATGCTCCTCCTCCTCCTCATCATCATCATCATCCTCATCCTCCTCATCATCAGCATCATCATTATCATGATCACCATCGCCATCATCAGCACCATTTCCCCCCCCCTCTCTTTGTCACTCACAGACTCACACACTCACACACTTACACACTCATTTATCATCGTCATCATCATCATCATCCGCATACTCATCATTATTCAGTCACTCACTTACTCACACACTCATCAGGATCATCATCATCAGCAGCATCATCATCATCAGCATCATCATCATCATGATCATCATTGTCATCATCATCATCGTTATTATTGTCATCATCGACATCACTCCCACACTCGCTCGGACTTACACTCACACACAAACACACTTACACACTCATATTCACACACTCACACACACTCGTACCTTCATCTTGAGAAAGTCTAAGGCGGTAGCCTCGTCTGTTAGTGATTTGCGAGGAAGTTTTAAGCAGGAGCCGCATCCCTATGGGGCCCGCAAATCATGTTACCAATCCGAGCGGGTCATCGGAAACTTGTAACCGTCGTCACTTTTGGGTTCCTGAGGCTTGAATATCGGGGAAGTATCAGGCGGGAGCCTCGTCCCTTCGTGCATTGCGGGGACTTCTTAGGCAGGAGCCACCTCACTATGGAGCCCGCAGACTATGTTATTAATCCGAGCGGGTCATCGGAAAGCTGTAACTGTCGTCTTTTTGGAGCTTCTGAGGCCTGGCGGGAGTCTCACGCGGGCGTTGGCAATCCGAGCGTTGTATGCCGAGTTGGTCGTCGGCAAACTTGTTACTGTCATTGCCTGCGTGCCCGAAATAGGGAATTCCATCGGTTCCGCAGCAGCGTAGGGCACAAGGGCGACTGAGGAGCTGACGACGACGACGACGACGAGACGGCGGCCAGCCGCAGGGACAACCTCTTGTGTCAGGGCCGGGGGTGGTAGCCTATCCTTTTCTGAATCGGGGGCAGGGGTAACCCATGTCTCCCGGGCCGCTGGTGGTAACCCATCGGCGGCCGAATCGGGCGCAGGGGTAGCCCATTGCGTCCGACCGGGGGTGGTAACCCATCCTTGGCCGAATCGGAGGCAGGGGTAACCCCTTGTCTCCGGGCCGCCGGTGGTAGCCCACTGGCGGCCGAATCGGGTGCGAGGGGAGGCCCTTGCTTCCGGGCCAGGGGTGGTAATCCATCCTCGGCCGAACTGGGGGCAGGGGGAGACCGTTGTCCCCGGGCGGCCGGTGGTAACCCATTGACGGCCGCATCGGGCGCAGGGGGAGGCCCTTGCGTCTGGGCCGGGGGTGGTAACCCATGCTCGGCCGAATTCTTCACGCTTTAAATGTGTATTTCAGTTGTGCTTCCAAGCGCCTCCTCTCTTTCTTGTGAATACGGGTCCATTCATTGACGCCAATTTTTTTTAATGATTTCGGTTCGTTTCTGGGAGTTTCTTGAGATTTTGTGTCGAAGCTGTGCGCGGGCACGCGCGTCCACGAATTCCTAACGCGGTGACGTATTTTCGGAGCGATTTGTTTTTGATGAGATTTTTGGTCCCTGGGGTGTTTTTCTTGATCCCAGGGCGCCCTCCTCCGCGCGGAAAATAATATTTTGGGTGGGGTCTGGGTTCCTCCGACGATGTCCTATTCGCCAGTGTTTCGCGGTGCGGATTCTCCGAACTTCGAACTTAATAATTTTGTATTGTTTGTTTTTGTTTTTGTTGTTGTTCGTTTTTTGTTGTTTTTGTTTTTTTGACTGCTTGTTTTTCGCACGTGCTTTTTTTAGCCTCCGGGGCGCTCCTCGCAGCCACGGCTGGTCTCCCCTCGAAATTCTTTACGCTTCGCGTATCCCCACCAGCCCATCTCACAGCAGCAACTCTCGCGAAGCATGCCGACAGTCGTGTTTTTCAGGCATGTGTCCGCTTGGCCCCGCATATCTCCCCTGTTCCTTCTTCCTCCCGCCTCCTTGTACATCCTCCTTGTGGGGGGAGCGGGAGAAGGACGAGGCGAAGGAGGAGGGAGAGAAAGCGCTCCTCGTGGTTTGAGTCGTTTGGGGTTTCTCGTCCTGGTCTGAGTCGTTCGGGCCCTTCTTCCTGGTGTGAGTCGTTCGGGCTCTTCGTGGTGTGAGTCGTTCGGGCTCTTCGTCCTGGTGTGAGTCGTTCGGGCTTCTCGTGGTGTGAGTTGTTCGGGCCCCTCGTCCTGGTGTGAGTCGTTCGGGCCCCTCCTCCTGGTGTGACTCGTTCGGGCTCCTCGTGGTGTGAGTCGTTCGGGGCCCGCGTCGTGGTGTGAGTCGTTCGGGCTCCTCGTGGTGTGAGTCGTTCGGGCGCCTCGTCCTGGTGTGAGTCGTTCGGGCCCCTCCTTGTGGTGTGAGTCGTTCGGGCTCTTCGTGGTGTGAGTCGTTCGGGCCCCTCGTCCTGATGTGAGTCGTTCGGGCTCCTCGTGGGGCCTCTTGGGGGCCTCTTGGAGCCTC